TATAGTAAAGAAACTGTTTTGCTGTTGCATTTGTTGCCAGTACCCACAGAGCCTTTAATTCCCAGTTCACTTTCACATATCGCTTTGACACCRAAGTCAAATTCTGCCATCAGACATGCAAGTTTTGTGTGTGAAGGTTTCGGTGTTGACTGGATGAGGTCTGCTGACAGACAGCTCCTTTTAAGTCTTGGAGATGCTGATGCAGAACAGGAAGCTCTTAGCACTGTTRTTTGAATGTGGAATAGATTTTCTCTGCTGGCAACTGAGAGCAATATTGAGCCAAGAAGGGCCCTGAGCCTAGACGCTCTGATCAAGGTAGTAGGGAAATAAAGTGAAGGATATAGTAAGTAAATACTTCCTTGAGAAGTATTTACCTTGCGAGAACAGCTCTGTTTCATGTTTGTAGCGATGTTAGAAGACGATGCAATATTGGTAATGGTGAGTCAGAATTCCCCATGAGAATTAGCATTTGTCCTTAGTTCCTTATTTTCATGTTCCTTACTGCCAAGCTTCTACTGTCATCTGTTACTGTTTATGGAGGTTCTGTTAAAAATACCATTAGTGATATATTTAGTGCTCTAAAGAGATCTTTTCTAGAATCATATTCTCATTGTAAAATGTTAGTGAACTCCATATTCCTGTTTTCAGTCCTTTTTACTAAATATCCTTCAGGAACAGCTTCCTTCAGAGGTGATTTAGGAGTTGAGAGGGGGAGAAAGGAAGAGAAAAGGAGATGCTGAGTAATTACTACATACAGCTTTTTGAAGGCATTTCCATTTTTGGAGGTTCATTTCCAGAAGGAAGCTGCATACTTTGGATGTTTCTGAAGATTTTTTTAGTATCTCAGTAGTACTGTCAAATTGTCTTTGTGGAAATACTCAAAAGGTCAAGTTTATTTGTAGCTTCATGTTTCTAAGTGGACTACATGATATATTTCCAGCTCTGTGAAATGAAGAACAAGACGTTAACAAGTAAGGCAAACTCCTCTAGAGAGTAGGCTCTTCTGCCTGCCTAAAGAGGGTATGTGTAAAAGCATCACTGGGACAAGGATCATTCATAGGTAGCCTTTTTTTCTTAAGTATTACTGTGCTTTTGATGTACCAGGTTAATTGCTAGATGTAGCAGAGTCATTAGCTCTTTGGCTCGTAATACCTACAAGTCCTTGCTGTCACTATCCTGAGAAGGATGCTGCTTGCCAAGCAGCTGTAGTGACAGCCAAGAAGATGACACATGTTTGTGACTGGCACATCCAGCTGCGGATGTGTTTTAATCTTTCCCACAGAAATGCATGCATMTGGGCATATATAGCAGGACATACCTACTGACTGAAACTTTGTGGAGAACTGCTGGAGGTTGAGCAATTTCCATGTGGAAGCAGTGTAAGAAAGACTGTTGAAGAATATCGTAGCATGATAGTTATTTAGGAGGATTTCTGGAATAGCTATGGTTATAGGTAAACATTTTTACCCCAAGGATGGTAAAGGACTTATATTTGACCAGGCCCTTTTCACAGTACTTTAAATACATTCCAGCCTCTTGTGCTTGTAAATATTTTAATATAATAATGTCCTTATCTCAGTGAAGAGGGATCAACTAACAGAGTTGTTGGCTGTGCTACATCTGAGTAGTCTGCTAGAAATATAACTTCACTAAGCATCAAAACAGTTTTGTCTACTTCGGGATTTTCCCACACGGGGAACTTGACGTTTAACCTTTTGGCCACCCAGCATGAAAACAAAATTGTACTACTTTTATCTACATGGGAGCATATTAAATAAGCCTCAAGTCAAATATAAACGAAGGAAGTAAGGAACAGCATTGCTTTGAAAACCTTTTTATTTCATTAATTTCCACAGATTCTCATTGATGGAAGATAGATTACTTTGCAAGAAAAATTCAAAGAAACTCACTCTCTTGAAATAAATTAGTTAAAGATTAAACTGCTGTAACATATCTTTGACTGCAAGCAAAAGGTACTTTTAGCAGTAAGTGTTGGCTTCTCTAGCTAAAATAGTCTCACCTTTGTGTCAGTTGGAAAAGGAAAACACTGATTTGACTTGGAACAGGAACACTGCAAARTTTTATGTGATACTGTTGGAGGCTTGTGCCTTATATACGCTTGCACACACACAACACAGATTTACCTATTTCTTTAGCAAAYTATTTTGTATTATTTTTAGATATTTTTAGAAGCTGAAACTGGAGGATTTTTTCTGGCTTTTCATGATCAGTTCGACCAGGTTACTTCTGCAGAGCTTTGTTAGCCTGTAGGCATCAGTTTTCCTAATTTTCAGACAGCAAATCCTTCATGTGGTATTTATCTCYATGGGAAAACTAGGTCTCTTGCCACACAGTAAAGTTTCTGAATTACTGACTTCATGTAATGTGAGACTAATACTTGGAAAGGCACATTTCTTTGGGCTTTTGAATAGGAGGGGTAATGATATCATGCTTTATCTTGGGCACCATATTTCCATTGAACCTGATCCATAGCATTACTATTTATTGATATTTTCAATGCTTATGTGTTGTGTTAGGCCGTCTTATGGCAATGCAGAGATATTGCATGGATTTCAACATGTGACTATACAGGTTAATTGTACCAAATTCAACCAGGTCATATATCTGAACTGGGACTCCTARTAAGACAAATATGGGGCTAGAAATGGAGGTTAAACCACGTGCTAGGGAAATCTGAAGAAATCTTTTGGTGAGAATACTTGGCTGTCAGGGCTCTTTGAGTTGTCTCTGCTGATAGACACAGCAAGCCAAGGATGAACCCAAAACTGGAATGAGTTTTGAACAGCAATTTTGCTTGGTAGAAAGTATAAACCTCCTTCCCTCAGTTTTGCTGTGAGTAAAGGGAGAAAATAATAAATTAGGAAGGACGTTATTTATCCTGAAGTTACAAACACATRCAGAAGTGGTTTAAATGTAAAAAAAAAAAGTTTTTGACATTTGGGATGTAGCCTCCTATATGGCCAAGGATCCAAGCTCTGTAAGGGAGGATGATGTTGCTACATGGCAGGGATGTCCCTCTGAAAGAAGATGTGTAAGGAAAGTGCACTGATCTAGTGTCAGCTCTGCATAACAAAGGTGCAGCTTTAGACAGCCATGGGAAATGCTGTACTTCTAGAGAGCATTTCTTAGGAATTAAAATATGTTATGTTAGTGAAAGAGCATTATCACCCTTATAGTTTTGTTTGCGTATAGTAATTATGAAACTTTGTAGGCCTTCTTCARATCTTCTAGGCTGTCTAGACTCTTCTAGAGTCTTACCACTTTTATTTATTGGGGCCTGGAACATCTGCCCTATGAGCAAAGGCTGAGAGAGCTGGGTCTGTTCAGCCTGGAGAAGAGGAGGCTGAGGGGGGACCTGATCAGCGTGTATAAATACCTCAAGGGAGGCAGTGAGGAGGAGGGGGGCGGCCTCTTTTCAGTGGTGRGCAGGGATAGGACTAGAGGAAATGGCTTCAAACTGAARCATCGGAAGTTCCACAGGAACTTAAGGAAGCATTTCTTCACTGTGAGGGTGACAAAGCACTGGAACAGGTTGCCCAGAGAGGTTGTGGAGTCTCCTTCTTTGGAGATCTTTAAAACCCRCTTGGATGCAGCCCTGTGCCACGTGCTCTAGGTGACCCTGCGTGWGCAGGGGGRTTGGACTCGATGACCTCTGAGGTCCCTTCCAACCTWCGGCATTCTATGATTCTATGATTTTCAGTTGTGAAGTTGGAAGAATGGGAATGATGGATATCAGCTAGATTCTTGGTTTCAGCTGAAGGGCTATATTTTTTCCCTGGAAGGTCCATTAGCCCCAGTAAATCAGCACAGCAGGTGACTAACCTACTGCTCCCCAGTTTCACATAATGCTGCTATGGGCAGATTCATGCCGTTCGGCTCGAGGAAAATGGCTGTGTCCAGTTTTTAAAAGGCAGAGAGCTATAACATGATACAAGATGGTTGTAATTAGTAGACAGGATTGCCAAGAGGATTAGTAAACAGAAGCATAAAAGACCTCCCCTCTTTTGTTTGTCAAAGAGCTGCACTTTCATGAAAGTTTTTGAAGATTGTTGATAATTACTGTGAGATTTAGTCTAGGTAAGCTCTTAAAACTTCAAATAGAAATTGGAATCTTATTGAATCCTACTCACTACTTCATGAACACTGCTCACCCTTAGATGTTCAGCATCTACTCKCTGTCTTGTTGGTGTGTCTGTTACATCTGACGCTAGTTCTGCTACAGTGATTGCCTTGCTTGGGTATTGAGTGTGAAATAAATCAAAGGGAAGCAAGTTACAGTGACCCTAAAATGTTCATAGTTCCTAGATCCTCTGTGTATCATCCACTAATATTGGAGAGAAATAAACGTATTTTGTAATTATATATTATGAAAAGTTCCTTAAATGAGTGCCTGAAGAAGAACGGGTTGAGGTCACACTTTAGAATATCTTGACTTTTTTATTAACATAATAGTTAATTCCTAATAATCAAGGATTTTGAGGTCGTTACTGTATATTTCATGAATGAGTAATAGTAGAAGGAAAGATTTGAACAAGAAATTTGGACTAAAAGTAATATTATTACAATTAAAGACAATTTTATTTCTCTATTCACTTGGGTCCATACCTAGAGTCTTCTGTTGCCAAGTCCTGCCTGCCTTTTATTTAGATGCTTGTGTGAGATCAATGATGAAATTATGAGTCATGACTTTAGTCTCTTTTGAGCTACATGGTCTTTCTTGAATTAAAGTTGTCCTTTCTATCTATAGCTCATGGGCAAAGATGTTCTGAAGAGTTTGCATGCACGAAGGTTTATTGTTAAGATTTCAAAAGAATGAAAATGGTAGCAGTGAAATCCTCAATGTAACATGAAAAATACCTGGGTCCATTTGACTTTACTAATTATCACAGTTGTTTCCAGTTTCCATACAGTGAATGGCAATGTCAATTGCAAAACAAAACTTTTTCATGCATTAAAATGGTTTCCTTCTGTCTTTGAAGGGTACAGAAAACAGAACAGACCTTGAAGACCTGCACCTTTACGCCACTCCACGGGAGCAGCGGTTTCGTAGGTTTGCCAGTCTGGAATTCGAGGGACAGCTGTATATGACTCCATATGACTTCATTCAGGCTGTCACGAATGATGAACCTAAACGTAAGCAGGCGTTTTGTGTTGATAAAAATGCCAGAGAAAATGCTAATGGGGTACTTTTTTTTTAATTTGCTTTTGGTTACTACTTCTGTTTCTGATTGTGGTGAAATGATATTGAGTCTTCCAAAATTTCATTTTTAGAATTTCATATCCAAGTGTTWACAGTTTGGCTGCCGTTAGGTTGTAAACATCTATATACTGCTCTCTGGTTCCCTTAAAAATTAATTAAATACTTGTGCCTTATAGGTCACACATATCTTGGTAGGCATGAAAGACTAAGTTACATTCTGATTTCCTTCTAAGCAAACCAATATTGCTCTAAACTCTTACATCCTTTTCTCCATGTAGTTCCTGTGTAAATGAGCAGGCAGGATCTGAGTTCTCTAATTTAGGAAACTTTGCTTTACAGTTTTCCCCATTTAAAAATGTCTGCTATTTTTTGTTGTTGTTGTTTTGCCATAAAGAGATTCTACAACTATATTATGATCTTTTAAATAACGTACTTTGAGTAAGAGTTTCAGTCCCTCAGGGGATTCACTTTCTACATTTAAAAATTGCCAGAGACAGTGCTATGTGTTAATTAAAATAATGAAAAATAAAATATAATCTTTCATCCACTTATTTTCAAATCTAGCTTTAGATATCAAAGACTGACTAGATAGTAAAATTATACAGTTCATTTCTGATCTAGTTTGGTTTCCTGGCTTACAGTGGTCTGGTAGCAGAACTCAGCTTCTGGGAAAAGTGAAGACTTTGCTTTGCTCAACTGTGACATTTATGATAACTCAGCTTGGGACTTTCTTGTTAAAATCTGCAGTGCAAAGCTAATGTTGAGAACTCTGAAAACCAGCTGAAACTGTCACCTTGAGTCCGAGGAGAGCTTAAATCTCTTTGCACATGTTAGATTTTTTAGCTTTTGTTCTCTTAGCAGTAATTGAGAAAATGATTCAGCCATGGCATGTCAGTGATCAAAACCTRCATAAATCTCGAGTAAGGATATAATCTTGTAATATCAAAGAAGTATGAGAAAATAGAGCCCTAGGTAGTCTTAGATGGTAAAAGCTTCAAAAACTTTGAACCTCTTAGCAGGATGCAGTTCTTCATTCTCTTTTTTCTCTCTGCAGTTAAAGAAAAGAAAGCAGATTCCTTATCCTGGAAATTAGTACAAATACACACCCAAACTTTATATTTTCTCTGCCCACATGCCCAAATCTTCTCTTTCTGCGACTGTTGAATTGGGTTTAGTAGTATGTCTCTGGGCAACCCATCCTCTAACTTAGCCAAATATGGCTATGGAGCCTTTGTACCATATATRGGATTATCTTTTAGGGGATAATAATAAAAAGAAACATTATCTTTAATTCAGCTTATGATACTCTGAGCAGACTGACCACAGTGTATATGTCTGGTACACTATTAAGATGGTGCCATGTTAATTTAAATATATGCCTACTCTGTAACCATTTCCCCAGTGCAAATATTCAGGTGAGAGGGAAGAAAAAAAGGAGGAAACACTGTGAGTCAGAACTTGAAAAGAAGATACTAGATCCTAGGCAGTTCTACCTTATAGTGCAGCAAGCAAACTGCTGCTTCACTTCCATCTAAAACGAACACTAAGCTCTCAGCTTCACAGCAATAGTCATCTTTAGTGCTTAATTTTCCAGTGGAAGTCCACTGACTACAGTTGCATCAGTGAAGTGTCAGGTCTTCATTAATTCACCAGACCTCTTAATCTGGTTGGAAAGTAGATGACCTTACCAATATGGTAACATAGTGGCTTATCTGGGTCCAGCTTTAAGTTTGCAAGGATCCCACACCAGGGAAGAAGCGATCTGAACTTAGGGCAACCAGGAACCTTTCCAAGGCCAGACCAATGAACCTTGTTTCTATTGAAATCCTTCTGCTTCAACCCAGTTCATCTCTGACATCAGAAGCAAAATTAACCTGGTTGCCTTTTAGTTTTAGAGAAAATACAACTGCAGTGGTTTTATTAAGAGGGAGTGTAGACAGTGTATACAGTGCAAACTAACTAGAACTAGAAGTGCATGACTTCATTACTGATGAAAGTCATTGCCTGGAACACTTTAAAAACACGTTAGGCAGAAGGCTGACACATAGGAATGAGTAGACAACGTAGATGATCTGCTGGTGTTACCATGTCCAGCTTCAGGGTTCTGAATGTTAGTTTTCATCTTTGTTCTGCAGCTTTGTCAAAGTACTGCTTGGTCAGTTTGGGCAAGTCCTATTTTTCTGTCTTGTTTCACTGAASTTAGTATGTTTAAGGAATGTGGGTTTTTTTCCTTCTTTTTTTCTGTCTTTTTCTTTTCCTTCTGAATAAAATAATAAGTGCTAATCATCATATTACGATTTGTGTTATCATTTTGGTTTTGCTTTAAATTGTGACTAATYGGGTCCATGCCAGCTGATGTGCTATAGTAATTGTATCTTTTAGAAAAAAAGGTCAGACAATTGGACTTTTATTGAGGAAAACTAGAAAGGCCTTGATTTTTGTCAGAAAGCAAAAATGCCCTTTGAAGAGTAATAATAGTAGCTCTTTACCTCAGCTTTACTGAAAAGCTAATAATGCTAGACCTGAATGAGATTTCTAATGGAATGAATGAGTCTATTGTGATTGATGTTCTCTGAAGATCTTGTAAACCTTGTAAAGTGTTCACTTCCTTTTTTGATTAAACAATGATTAATATGGTAAAAGTATATTTTCTTTTATAAAATGTTGACTTAAAGCAGTCATTATAAAAAATAAAAGATAAACACCATGGATAACTTTACACTCCTGTCTTTATGATACAGGATTTAATTTGAGGAAATGTATTATGCATGACTATTAAATTTTATATATTTTTATCATTTGAACATATGTCTCTATTTTCAGCATATCAAATTTTAAAAAAGAGGAAAAATATTTTGTYCCCTTTATTTCTAGTTTGACTAACTGTAATCTTTTAGATGTAATACTTACCTGTTAAAAAACTTACTTGCTTGTCTAGAAAAATAGACCTGTACATATTTATGACTGRAAAATTACCTGATTGGAAATTTAGATATAATTATTTGCCTGTTTTTTTTTTTGTTGTTGTTTTTTTGCATGTTTGTTTATTTGCTTGTTTTGTAATAGGCATAAGTGTAAATCAATCTATATCACAAACGAGGTTGTTCTGTAGTGCTTTATTTTGATATTTTGAGATGAAACGTTAATTCACACTAAAAATCTAAAAAAGAAATGTATATGGAAATATTTTAGCTTATTTGCTTCGTATAATCCTGCTTAGTCAAGATAGAAGGAGGAATATACCACAGATAAACTTGAATTCTATCTATTTCCTGTGTCTCTGGTTGATGTGGAATGGTGCGTTTTGGAGATAAAGGAGCTTTCCCTAACTGAAGTGGAGTTTGGATTTAAAACTGTACATTTTAAATCTTTCTTCAAAGTTAGAAATCTAGATATATATTAAACTAACCTTTTAGTAACATAAATACAAGTCAATTACTTTGAGACAGACTGTACTGTTTGAAGATTTCTCTTGTGAAGTAAGCAGGGTAAAAGTCATTTCTTTGCCTATAAAGCATTGAGTACAGGGGCGATCTGATTTCTGTGATATTCTGTGACATAACTAAATTCTGTGTATTCATAACTTTTTGTCCTTTGTTGCAGATGCTAAAAAGTGGAGATCCCTTTCAAAGCAGGTGGGTAATAATTCCCATGTGTAAAATGGGCTGTTCTACAACCACAGATTTTACTACAGTTACTTTCTTTTATCATGTAAACTTGCAGTCGCAGAGAAAGATGGGGCTCTTTTTTCATCTTTATCAAAAAGTTGGAACTTTATTTCCTTTTGTCAGATCAGACTGATTTGGCTCCTGAATCTCATGGATAGGTGACCAGCAATGCCTGGTGTTTTTGCTTTACTTACTACTGATCTCCAATTCTGCAAACACTTAGTATCTGTGCAGATGTGCTCAGATGAGCGGTAAATGGACTGATCGTAAGCACAAAATGTATGTATGAGCTTGAGCTCTTCCAAAGTRGTTATGATAAAGTGTAGCTACATTAACTAGTTGATTTACATACAGTTGTGTCTTGCATCTTGGTTTCATAGTATTTTCTGATACTGTCTTCTTTAAATGTTCAGTTATGTGTATTTATGTTTCTGAAATCTTATTTTTTTTAGGAATTGAATCAAATACTTATGGAGACACCGCCAGTTTGGAAAGGATCATCTAAACTTTTCCGTAATCTCAATGAGAAAGGTGAGAGATGAGAATTTATTTTTCCGAAACAAATTATTACAAGTATTATTTTTAATATGGCTGAAATAAACTTGTATATATAGTCTGATTTGCATCTTCGAAAAGTACAAAGATTCTTTTAAATAGTTGAGCTACACAAAWTTATGCCAGCTGACCCTGGGTCAGCTTGAGTGACCGCTGTCTGTTCTTTCTGATCTTCCTGTTTCTTCTTCACTCTCTGTGCAGTTGTCATTTCAGAGCATTTCTCCTGTAACATTCAGAGATTCAACCAGATTCATATGACAGCCCATAGCTACCTATACCAGCAGAAACAAAAGGAGACAATACTTCTAAGGCTTTTTCTATTGCTTTATTCATACCTGTGACAGACTCCTTGACAATAGTACTTCCTTCCTTGTTTTTACAACAAAGAAGGTGTCATCAAACAAATTCTAAAATACGTTCTTTGTAGATTTATTGACTGGCTGTTAGAAAATATTGCACCTCTCTGTATCCAAACTTGTGAGGTGTCTGATTTCCTGATATCTGCTAGTCCAAACAGATTCATGTAGGCCTTTGAGACAGAACTTCTGCAAGATGCTGGGTAGAATACAGAAGATACAAAGCATAAGACTTTTTATTTAAATGCCTGCATTTATTTTTGTATTGTTGATCTTCAGTGTGCAATGTTTAAGGTGGCATTAAAATACCTAGTATTTTTAATTTAATGGGACCAGATTTTCAATTAAGAGACAAAATGCACTTGTGTTTACCAAGCACTTATTAAAGTCAAGACACGTATTGAAACAGCAGGTATCAGAGGGAGCATTATTGAAGTTCTAAAAGAGGAAATGTTTACATACTGCTGAAGAGTGCTCTCGTTCATTATAGATGTGGTTTTAGGAAAGACAAACAAATACATAGTTTATATGAATTTCCAGGAATCTAATCAGCTTCCAATGAAGTCGCTGTAGCTATTTATTCACATTATTTAGTGTATTCTTCCCTAAAAAAAAAAAAAAAGACAAATACAGTCATATGCACACAAATACCATTATACATACTCAAATGTGTAGAAATGCATCTTTTGATACATATATCTAATATTTGCAAGTTTAGGAAGGAAAGACAACATAGACCTAATATGATATATCATTTTTTTTTCTTCAGGTGTAATATCTTACACAGAATATTTGTTCCTCTTATGTATTTTAACAAGTAAGTATTTGGGAGCAGGGGAGGGGGGCAACTCCTTGCAATTTATGAGCTGAAAATATATTCCTGTACATTAATTGAAACACTGTTTACTTTTAGGAAAAAAAGTGTATAATGCATCTCTATGTCTATTTGAACCTCTCCTGCCCTACTAAAATCTGATGTTATGCTTTAAGTGCTTTCTTATCTGAAACACATTTTGTTGAGCATTGTGAAAGTTCAAGCAGAAACTTCAGCAGAACCCCAGTTAAGAAATTGTTATGTTATTACTGTTTTGTTCCATTTGTTAGTGCATGATAATCATATCTATTTTTCATTTTTGAAAAATTGCCCAAATAAAGTGTAAATGATTCTGTRATTTGCATATGAAAATAAGCAGTGTTATGCCTTGCATTCACTATGTGCACCTGTTTACCAATTTAAATTGGTTGAGTAAAATTGCTTTTGTAAACAGATGACAAATAATATCATAGAAATGTATCTTTTCTAAGCAAAAGGACTGATCTTTTTTTAATTTTTTCTTTTTCTGGCAGAGCCACATGCAGGTTTTAGAATTGCTTTCAACATGTTTGATACTGATGGCAATGAGATGGTGGACAAAAAGGAATTCTTAGTGGTAGGTGTATTTTCAGTCTGAATATTTTTCTATAATCTTGAAATTTGTTGTTTTTTCAGATATTCATTATTTTTACAGTGTACTTGTGTACTGTATATGTTTTTTTCTTTGACATTTAATTCCATCTGGATCTGCTTAATTGCTACTGCATTCTCTAATAAATAGAGTATTAAAGTAGTATTGCTRTTCCTAGGGTCAGTAGAGTTATTTGATTGCCACGATGATGAGGGAACCTGGGAAAGAATATTTTTCTTTGAACACTCTTCACTTTTTCATGCCTTCTTCTTATGATCCCCAAAGAATCGATAGTGTTACATTATGTCAATCAACATTTTCATCTGTTTTAGACAAAATCTATAATGAAATAAAATACAGCACTTGTGCACAAGTTGAGCTAAATAATTCTGATGTGGTTTTGAGCAATGGCGGGAGACCTGGAACTTGGAAACTTTTTGTATCCGAAGTTTTATTATACTACAAACCTGAAGTATAGTGTTTGTCAAAGTAGAGCTTTTCTCACTTTATTGTTTGAACAAAGCAGTTCTCTAGATTGTTTTGTTCATTATTTAAGCATAGTGTGGTGTTTCCTTTTTTTTTTTTTTTTCTTGTTAGAAATTCAAACAGTTCCTCTTTGCTTATGTCATAGGGGTGAGGTCAGGGAACAGAGGGATTGTGTTCCCTTGTTACAGGAGATCTTGTTTTTGCTGCTTTCAACAGTCAGTCTCATTACCTATTTCGAACAATGTTCCTATGAAAGTACTCCCAGAGCCTTTCACGTTCACTCTTCTACTCACTGGTATCCTATAGCGCTCTTTATGAACAAAAGATCCATTTCCAAAAGTTTAGCAAGTGCTTTAATGATGAGTGCAACAGAACCCTACTCCCTCTGCTTCTGTGGCTGGAGAAATATATCCAAGGGTGCATTACTTTTTTTCAGATTTTTTTTTATTTTTTCATTTACTGCTACTTTTCTCTCCTCCTTGATGGCTTGTTGCTTCACTTTTCACAAGGTATTTTCTTTCTGCTTCTATCTCTTCATTTACCTTTTTTTTTTCTCCTACAGTTTTGGATTGCAAACTGTATAATACTCAAAGCCAGGGATCTCAGCTAAAAGCCCTGCTATCATGTCTCTTTTCTTGTCAGGATAGGTTACAGTAATTTGTGCCTCTAGTTTGGCTAAAACAAAAAAAAAATGAGAAAAACATACAAATGTCTGTCAATTATTCTTTCACTCAAGAAGAGTTACTGTGATACCCTGTTCAGTGTTTGCCTTACAGGAAATTCTAGTTAGTCACTATAGTCAGATTTGGAAATTCTTAAAAATCTGATTCCTAAATGCATTTGCTGTTTGATCTCTCAATACAGCATTTGTTTATTTCATTTCTGTCATACCGTGCAGGATAATTTGGTGATCCCATTGGCTTAATTRGTTCCCTTCTCCGAAATATGTTACTCTAAAATTTAAGACATCTGTGCAGAATTTACCACATCCATCTCGCATTCAGATCCCCACACAGGTCTGTGTGCATTTAACTGCAGTATCAGGGCTGAATCAGACTTTGGTGGATAAAATCCAGTCTTTGAACAACTGCCACAACTGCGTAGTTACGGTAGCACCATTGATACGCCACCAGTTTGATGTTTGGTTCAGAAAACACCATGTTCTAGGTCAGACAAATAGTGCTCCCAAACACAATTATTGGCTTGATTTTGAGGAAAAAAACATTTGCAATGTTTATTGTAGTTATTATTGATTATTGCATTATAATGATTATTATACATGCAAAATAGCCTGAATGATAGATAAGAAGAAAATGGTTTGTTTTGTAGCTGCAAGAGATTTTCAGGAAAAAAAATGAGAAGAGAGAAAGAAAAGGAGATGAAGAAAAACGTGCGCTGCTTGTGAGTATATTAGTTGCAGTTGCTAGTTGGATTTTTTATTTATAAATCTTTTCTTTAAAAGAATATATATTTTAAGAATAGATAGATAAAACCCAGAATTTATCCTAAAGTGCAGTTCTTAAAAATATACTTTATTGTCTTAACAGAGAATAAAAACATCTATTGTATATTTAAATGTTATGTACTGTTAAAGTAGCACTGTTTCCACTCAAAGTCTATATATCTAAGTAAACTGAATAGTAATGACCCAATATTATTGTCTGTGACAGTGAGAGATCTTAATGGTGAGATCAGACTGTATTCTTTATTTATCTGCTTACTAAAACTATTTATGTAGACATACTAATTCTGATGCTTGTTATTAACGCAATGGTCTTAAAATAGCTGCTAAAATGTGATAAGCAAAATTAGATTTTATTTTTTTTAATTATTAATTACTATTCATGACCAATGTGAAATATTTGAGTTAATTGTATTATGTGAATAATTTTTCATGCAATGTTGAATACTCGTTCAGTGTCAGTTTTCAAATATTTTATGTATATGAGAAAAGTAAGTAGGGAATATAGAAGTTTGTGATCTGTCTGGATGAGAAGAGGTGGCAGCAACAGCTTCTTTTAGGGATGACCAAATAAAAATCAGTGGCAAGCCTTTGTCAATCCCACAGCAGAAAAAGTACGTTCATTTGCAATGTGCATATTTATGGCAGAAATTCCTCATAATAAACGTTTTGATGTTTTACAAGGCGTTGTTATGGTACCCATTATCCTTTGAGAACCACARTTTCCAAATTTCAGATCTTTGTCCTGAAAAAAAGGTGAAGTTTGAAGTTCAAGAGTTAACATTTCTTAAAACCTTCCTGACCAAAAAAAATGAGATCTTTTCCTCCCATCTTGAAAGACCTATCTTTCTCTGTTTTAAAAAAAAATTGTTATATTATTTTTACATAATTAAATAGCATTGTTTGCTAACTGTTCAGTTAATACTGTTGAATTTCTCGCAGACTGTTTATTCTGAGCAAAAGCAACTTACATCCAAAAGGAGAGCTTTTGAGAAAGGTAAAGAAAGATTATAAAATGGAATATTCCTCTTGACAGCTGTCTCAAGTCTAAACTTTATTTTTGAAAATTTAAAGAATGAGATTGAAAATGAACAATTTGCTCTCCACTGCCTTTTTGAATGAAATGAAAACAAAATATCTAATGATATCTAAAATGATGATATGCCTGTCTTAACCTATTCTATTGTCTTTATTTTTTTCCCCTTCTTTTGGCTTCATTCTGACATGTGATACTTGGCTTGGCCCGTTTTTGCTGTATGTCAGCGTCTTCAACTTTATGGATATCATACTTCTACTAACAGTGTATGTACTCTAAGCATTTTCAATTTATGCAGTCTACACCAGTGAGGTGAAATAATATGCTGCCACAAAATTTGATGTTTATGCAGTTAATTCCTTCTGATTGCCGATCAAAACGTGGTGGACCTTTATTTCCACAAAAGCTTGTGTGTGTTTGATAAGGAATKTAGAAACAGGCAAGCCTGCCAACAGGAAGGTTGCTCTCTGATCAGGTAAAATGACGGAAAAATATTCTGTAGAAGAAGGATAAAATACATAGTGAGAAATTGCAGACCTGGTTTTGATGAACCTGTATAAGTTACATCCTCCAGCAGCAGTCATTAGTCCATTCAAGGAATACTAGTTAAATTGTTTTACCACTTTCTACTCAGGGGAAARAAAAATCTCTCTTCCTGTTTCCTTCTTTTTCAGTGCTTGACTTACAGACAAGCAAAAGTTAAAATTAGCTTTTAAAATCTGGGKTTTTTTTGTAACTTATTTATTCATTTATAGGAATTCACAGGTTTATTTCCTTGAAATCAGCACACACAATTTGGGCAATATGCAGAAARGAAATCTGTTGAATGAAAAGATGCAGAGTCAGAAAGGACTTGGATGTTGCAAAGTATAGAACAGTACAGGAATGCCATATTGAGTCCTTTTACTCATCACAGTCTTTTTTAAAAATCTGGGTTTTTTTTTTTTTGGCAAGTGTCAAGTTCTGTAAGCAATATGATGGGTATAAGTGCAGTTTTAAATGAGTTAGTTATTTCTGTATTTTCATTTGCGCAAGTTAATTCTCTTATGTCATGTTCTGGTGCATACTGCAGATGTGTATTAAGACTAGTTCAGCGTGAGTTGCATGAGTGCTTTACTAGCCGAATGGCAACTGAAACATGGTCATTAAAATGCACATGCTCAGAGGTACTAACTGCACTGGCTAAAGAAAATCTAATAAGAGAAGAAATTCTATGAATACTTACAATACATACATATAACAGAATTGCATGAATTACGTGTATAAAAGAGTGAAGTTATACATATACATGGCTCAGTAAATACCAATGGGTAAGTAAGTGTCAGAGAGAAACATAGGACATATTACTGCCCAACAAGAGAAAGATAAGACTAGAATGTTTCAAAAATGAGTATGATTATTGTAGTTTATCAGTTTTCTTTGATCATAAGTTGCAGTGAGATCTGAGTGATATTGTAAAGAGGACAAAACAACACAATTTATCTTTTGGAAGCAGTAGTAAAGTTGACAAAAAATTCAAGTTATTAAGCATATTTCAATCCAGCAAATACATTGTTATTTTCGGCAGCCAGACACTTTGTATTTAATGTCTTAATATATTTCTATCTTCTATATAAAATTACATATTGACCTAGTGCCAAAATCTTGTTACTTCTGTGATATTAAGAACATCATTTATATAAAATATTAAATAATTATTCATTTACAAGTATTTTTATATAGAAAATACATCAGAGGCAAATAATCACAAGACAGTCCTGTAAGTATTGAGTCCCATTAGATTGGTAAGAACCCTTAGATAATACTCTCATGTAAGTGTATTACTTCTGGATGTACTTATTTAGTAAGAGGAGCATAGCAAAATCATATTCACTGAGGAGATACTGTGCCAAAGAGCATTAAGGAAAAACAAAAACTAATGTTTTTTAAAATTTGTGTGGAAATTTATATGAACATATGTTCATATGAACATATATATATGGCATATATATATGGCATATATATGTCATTTCAACTGTTAAATGAATGTCATACATTTAAATTTCCATGGTTCATGTTATGCAGAATGCATAGGCAAAATAAATCTTCGTTCATATTATGCAGAACTCATAGGCAAAATAAATCTTCCTTCTGTGCAGTGTTCTTCACAGTAACAGTGGCTTTACACATCATAGAGCAGTCCCATCAGAATCTGCAAACTCCATGATGGGAGACATTTTATGGCAGTCAATTTTTAAGAGAACAATATGTGCTGACTCAGGGAAAAAAGGGGGAATTTTTTCATTTGTAGGTAGGTTAAAATCATTCTGTGACTTCGTCTTGTGTGTCCGGATGGGCACAAGTAGGGAGCACTGAAAATAGGAGATCTATTTTAGATTAACTTGTGGAGAGAAAGGGAAAAAAAATCAATCTTGATAACCCTAGCCAAGTTCAGGTAGCCTTCAGCTCTGTTCAAGATCATCTCCYGTAAATTCCTTTGGGAATAAAAAAGTGAAATATATAATATAAGACTCACTGCATGATAAAAGGAAGCTTAATATAAAAAAGGACCATTTTTTCAGATGATTCAAAAAATTACTTCCAAAAAATGATACAGATATGTTAGAATGAAGAAGTAAGCATATTTGTAGTATAGATAAATACTTAATTTCTGTGAAGTTTGATCATCAGACATGTGTAATATTTKGTTGATAAGCACATTTCAGTTGGAAAATGAACTTACTAGGCTTGATTTTGCTTTTTTCCTTGCTGCTGCAAGAATATCACCTTGATTATGTGCTAAAATAAAGTTTTACGTTGCTAGTTAGGTGGTTGTGGTATTATTTTGATAAAGGAGAAAGCAAATTTTATGCCATAAGAATATGAAATAATATTTTTCTTAGAGAACAAAATTACTGAAAAAACAAGAGCCAGATACAGAATGTATATGCATGTTGTCAAATGTACTTTAAAATACAGTCTGTAAATTATGTTATTTGAGAAAGTGAAATCTGGTGATGCTTCTGGCACAGCCACTTTATAAGTAACAGGCGAATAATTGGAATAGCCCAGCATTGCTTTAAAAAGTATCTTTGGTTTACAATTAACTCTGTGTAGAGATTTCTCAGGGTAAAAACAAAAGAACAAGCCATGCTTTTGAAGATTGGTTAGTAAGAAAAGTCTGTAAACTGTTGCTTTGGTGTTCCTTGATTTTTCACACAATTATGCTTCTTGCAACTTCTGCAGGTACTTAAAACAGAAGGAGAGGACCTTGTCCCCAGAAGCTACTGGGATACTTTGAGACGTAGCACAAGCCAAGCACTCTTTTCAGACCTTGCAGAGGTATAAGGCAACCTCTGTCTCTGGTCCATAAACACATCACTCTTTTATTTATTTCTCTTCTATTTGTTGTCCTATTTTATGCATTTTGTTTATTTTCCTCATTTTAGATTTATTTTTTGTGAAAACCTGAGAGTCTCTGATGAAACGTATTTGTTTCCATGCATTGCTGATGTTAAGATTGCCATTTCTAAATAAAAGCAAAGCTACCTTTTGAAAGAGCCGGGGAATGCAGTCCACTTAAGTTCTTATTGCAAAAAGAATTTTCCAAAAGTAGTARTGATAATATTTTAGTTACAGTAGTAATTTAGGAAACCTTTTGACATCCAGAGATGTGATGACTTTAATAGAGTTGTAGCCTTTTAAGCTTCAAATCTTTAGGCTGCTTTCTGGGCTTTAAAAAGTGCTTTTTATGTACAGTATCACAGGTCATCTTCATAAAAGCAATATGATGCAAAGATTAATTTAAATTTGTTGGATCAAACCAGGAATGTTTTAAGGTAAATAAAACAATTRGTTACATTAGTCGATCTCTTTGAATGTTGCATAATCATTATGGGAGACTACCAATATTACAGYGTCATCAAATTAATTTTCTCAATTCTCTAAATTCCATAGTAGTGTCATGCTCTGCTTTAAAATAAATGAATAACAGATTCTTATTTGTACCGATCATTTATGAGAGTCACAAAACCAGAAGATTTAGATGTGTTAGGCCCCATATGGTGATGCTGATTGCTTTRCTGGTCGTACCAGTAAAGGACACGCAGCAGCTCCCTACTGACTCCATGGCCTCGAGTCACAAGCTTCATAACCAGAATCATAATGAGAAGGGAACATAYAGACCCAGAAAGGTCTTTTTGCTTGCTTCATAAGCAATGCATGCTGCATATTAAAATTAGTTTTTTATCCCTGCTGTTCCTATTTGGAAGCTATTCTATAATAGAGGACTTTGAACTTCTTCTAATTTTCAACTTAGATTTATTCATATTCCCTTTGTATCAGTCTCTCCTTTTCCCCTTCTTTGGTGTTAATCTTCTTGCTCATGATCATAATAGCTCTGAGTTCCCCAAGTATCAGATAGCCCATCTCTGTTCCTCTTAGTTTGAATTCATCTGCCTCTGAGCAAAACTATCCTTGATGTTACAGAATTGAATTTAGGCTSATATTTATAGCAGTAGTTCATAGCAATAATGTATTCATTGTGATCCTAAAGAAAAAAAAATACACCGAAATACATCTTTTCCTTGTTTTTAAATTGATGAGCTCCTGAACTATTAATCTAGTTACTAGTCCGTAAGGGGTGGATTTATCCCACAGACTTTTATATAGAAGCACTGATGTTCCAGGCTTCCTGTAGTCAGTTAAGGACCATACAGCAGGGCTCTTCAGTCTCTTTTCATTGACTCTTTAAGGAGCTTTTAGGCACCTGTTCGCTGAATGAGGTGTCTTATTGTTAATCTACAACTAACTGGAGGAATCATGTTCAGATGGACTTAAATTTGGAAATCTCTTAAAACCTTTAGTTTAAGAGGAAGAAAAATATGTATGTTGTTAGAGATGCTTTATCCTTACATCTGTAACCTACAATGGAGTTAAAACTYCTAAGCAACAATGTTAAACATTGATTTAAATTTGCCTATAAAATGTTTTTAAAAACCTGTCTGCTCACTTGCTAATCATTTTATAGAGACAAATCGTATGTCCTTCATTTTCTGCACGGAGAAGTTGCCACTTCTCACCATAAGCATTTTTATCTTTCTTGGCATAAGATTGAGCCAGCTGGCTCTCCTCCGTGTTCTTATCTCACCCAGGTACTTCCACATCTGAATGATATTATAGCCATCTGTGCTAAAAAACAAGTGATATTGGAGTCTGTGTTGTCTTACAGCCTTTCAAAAAGGTCTTGTATAAACTGAAAAGGAGAGTAAATAAGGCTCATTCTTGTGAGACTCAACTTACAAGACCTCTTTGGGGAAAAAAGAAAAGTTATTCATCACACGTGGTATCTTTTGGAGACAGTTGTACAGCATTATTTCTGCCATTACTACTTGAGCAGTTCTTCCCGCATGCTGCAGCATGCCACTTGCTACTGAGTTCAGTTTGGGGATCTGCTCTGAAATGACTAACTGAAACAGGAAATTAGTAAGGKGGTTAGAACACCTGAAAATCAAGGACTGAGAAAGAAAGCTCATGTTAATTGGAAATAATACTTGCTTTCATTCTCAGAATGCATTCATACAAGTAGACTATCACTCGTGAGTTTAAGTTGCTTTTCATTGAACTTCTGTGATCTGGAGTATTGAAATCTGGATCTCTTTGATCCAGATCCATTTATTGCTCTCTGGGATGGAGAAATTGAGATGCAGAAAAGAAAAGATTTTCCCATTATGCCACAAGCTGATGATGGGATCAAAGTGGTTGTCTGTTCTATATGTCTTTATACCTATATTTATTTAACAGATAGTGCAAAAGTAAGAAGTGAGATGTTTTTTATTTTTATCTAAAAGATTTTAAAATATATTAAAGCAAAATAGGGCTCTGTTAAATTATATGGAAATAAATGTGGAAGCATAGTTTCACTTATGTAACATACAGAATTTACTTTATTTGGGAGACAAAACAGTAGCTTTAAAGAAACAAGGCCTTTGTTTTTACCCTTATCTAAGTTACATAATTCTATTAATGCAAAAGAAGCACAGGAATAGTTCTTAGTTGCTTACAGTTCCGTGGAGAAGCATATCAGGTTGGGTTTCTGGGGTGGRTTTTGTTTGGTTGGTTCGTTGGTTTTGTTTAAATTGTATTTATTTATTTATTTTATTATTATTTAGTGAGGCTGACCAAACGGGAAGAGACTTAGAGATTTTATTTTTAACGCTTTTTTAGATATGAGTGAATGTAACCTAATTCTAAGGTTGTGAAATGTTTTTATATGATGAAAGGCTGTAATTTAACATTTGATATCTTTTCAGTGTGCTTGAGGGAGATTGCTTGAATGTACTTAGGGATTTAATTGTTTAAAAGACAGAGGAAATCAGGGTATCTCCATTTCAGTGTATTATGTCCTGTAGTGGAGGATAACAATATAAAAAGAAAATAGTGATTACTTTTCTGAATTAATTAGCTCCCTTCAAGAGCTGAATTGCCGTATTTGAAGGACATGAAATATCTTTCTATGTATATATATACTATGACATCTTATTTCTCCCTAGAGAAAAATAGGAGAATAAAGAGGGAGCTAGACTACATGAAAYATAATCTTGAAAATCCTAAACTGATTATACTAAACTGCAGAAGGATCTCTCTCCTATTTCTTCAGTTCTTGGGTGATGAAAAGAAAAGATTTATGTTGTTACCACCTTGGGTTTTGCTTTCTTTATGCCCTCAGCTGTTGGAATATACGTGTTTTTACTACACAGAACATTTTAAATTTTGTGCAAGCCAGTATGTACATTTGAACATAATGTAGTTTTGATCAGGGAATGTGTGTTTTTTGAATTACTGCTTTGCACAGCCTTACTGGGTCTCAACTTCAGTGGGGCTGTGAGCAACAACAGAGACTTCCTAGATCTGAAGATTAGTTACATTAAAAAAAAATTCCAGCTGTTTTTGCTGCAGGCTCTTAGTGAAGACATTCACTACACAATATGTGATGAAGAAAATTCAGTATTTTGTTTGCATATTGAGAAGGACTTGTAGTCATAATACCAGGAGTTTAGTAGYTTATATTTAATGTGTGTCGTTCTAGGATCACATTCTCAGCATCAGTTGTTTGCTATAAGCTATTCATCAGCTCTAAATCTTTCCATTGCTGTAGATATTCTAGTAAACCAACTCTAAAATACTTCTAAAGAATGACAGAGATGTTAAATTCAAAAAATACTGTCTTTCAGAGAAATCCATTTAGACTCCAGTGCTGTTCAAACAAAAAATACTGTCTTTCAGAGAAATCCATTTAGACTCCAGTGCTGTTCAAACAGTGTTTTCCTCTTTGCATTTCTAAGTCACCGTGGACAGAAGGTTCTCCCTAGGCAGGTGCAGCAAGGAGCCTGAGTTTATTCCTTCTTCAATGTCAAATGTTGGCAGATGTACATTAATGTCAGAAGGACATTGCCTGGTATAATACTGCGGGCTATTAAAGCCTTCTCTTGCTGAGCTATTTTCCTAGCTCTTCAGTATACTAAGAATTTCTTTGTAAAAGAAGTAAAGTTGATGTACATACATCCACAGTTAAATCTGAGTATGTAGTAAAAAAAAAGTCATATTCTATATATTGATTATAGTTAAATTGTTTTTATTTACACATTTTACTCTTTAATGTATAAGCCGTCAAAATTAGTTGTTTTCTAATTCTACGATTTACAAGTTTGTAATTGAAAAGTGTTATTACATGTTCAAAGATACATGTCTGGKGCAGAGACCCTATACACAACAAATAAAGAACATTCTTACATTAGTTAATCAAAATAAGATTACTTAAGGGGAATTTTTTTACAAGACTGTTGTTTTAAATATATTTTGGCAATAAGAATTAAAGTGTAGTCTAAATGTAGTTTAGTTCTAAGAGAACTAAATCAAGTACATCTGATTGATGTGAGTGTTGTTTGGAACATAGTCCCATACTTAATCATTCTGAAATATCAAGTAAGAATATATGAAATAACATCTTTTAATCTCTGTGCAGATGCATAGTAGAAAGGAAAGGAGACTGCACAGGTGTCATTTGGATGGTTTGCCTGAATGAGGTGTATTTTTCTTCTTCCTTCCTTCCTACAACTTCTGCTTTCTTTCTCCATGCTTCTTTTTTTTTTTTTTTTTTCCCCTTCATCACTATTTCTACTGTGTGTTGTACTGTTGCTTTAAGGGCTTTAAACGAAATGCACCAAACTACCTAATGCTATTTTGTGTGGAAATTTGTATGACTAAATTTGTCTAACAGCCTACTAAAATCTTTTTTTAACACTGTAAACATAAAATGTGTAAACTCTYTGACTACAAGGGTCTGTTATCCTGATAAGCATTCATGGATTGTACTTCTATAGCCAATCTTTYTTTTTTTTTCCCCACAAATATTTAAGCGTGCTGATGATATTACAAGTTCACTGTCGGATACTACACTGCTGGTACACTTTTTTGGCAAGAAGGGAAAAGCTGAACTGAACTTTGAAGATTTTTATAGGTGAGTCTCAGTTTTATGAACTCCTCCATGTAAAGAAATACTTTGTTACGTTTTATAATTAGTACAGGTATTACTAGGTACAATGTGTATATGCACAAATACAATTTATATAGTGTGTAAAATACATTTCTGTATGTTTTTAGTTTGTTTTTAMCCTTTTGCCTATGTAAAATGCATTTCTGTATATTTTTAGTTTGTTTTTACCCTTTTGCCTAGGAATCTGTTGCAAGCCACTGGAAGGTCAGGATACCCAGCAAGAAACACCCTTGATTTGAGCTACACATAGTTCTTACAAGACCAATGATGCACTAGGAAAGAGTGTTGCAGGCAGTGCCTGCAGACTGGGATCCTGGCAACCTGCAATAAGAGCGTGTTGCAAGTCATGGTAGATAATGAGCTGACAGAAACTCYGAGTGAAGGACTGTGACCATAGAGCTACTTTAATTCTTAGATGTATAATTAGGACAGCACATAGAATCAGGGAAGTTTCACTTCCCTGCTGATGCATCTAACTGTTTTATACTGTGCACGGTTTTGTTGCCCCAGTTTTGCACTGTATGTTGTTAAATTGCAGTGAGTTCATAAGAATGTTGTAAGAACTTAAAAAATTAAACAAATACAAACTAGAAATAAATTAGATTTTAAACCTTGTTAAAAGCCATTGTTAAAATTGGTTAGACAGAATGTCAGYATCGAAAGAGGCTTTAGCAGATTTACAGTCAATGCTTTAAACARGGAACTAATTGGTAAAATGCTATTTGGTTTTATATTACATGTGTTTTAATGACAAGTTTAGTAGAAATGAAAAGTGTAATTGTTTATTGGTATTTATGTTTATGTTTTAGATTCATGGATAACCTACAAACTGAAGTTCTAGAGATTGAATTCCTTTCCTACTCTAATGGGATGAACACCATCAGTGAGGAGGACTTTGCCCATATTCTTCTGAGATATACAAATGTGGAAAATACATCAAGTTACCTGGAAAACATGCGCTGCAGGATCCCCGAAGAAAAGGTAGTTTAGCCAGCACAGTCATGGGTGGCAGCATCAAATCCTGGTGTCTTCAAGGTGAAATCATAGCCTTCATGGACTGTATGTGGCCTCTGTCCCTGATTTCAGCAGCACCAGGATTTTATCCTGATCATAAGTTTACATCTTATTTTTCATATAATTTACTGAATAGAAAGAAGAAGAGTAAATAACAACACGTTATGTTCCTTAGGGTTTAGGAGTGTTTTTGCAGTTTAAATAAGCAAAGCTCCATATTACATTAAAACTCAGTTCAAGCAATAACAAACGTAAGAGTTGGAAGAGATTTTTTTTCTAGAAATTAGTCTTATTTAACAGTTTTTTTCCRGCAATGACACATTAAAAATACTTTTCTGTGTTTTCTCTTTTTCATTGCTACCTGAATGAACCTCTCGTCAGAATAAACATTGACACACTCTATCTAGTTCTATTTTAGTTTCAGTAATGGGTCACTTGTGCATAATCATTGATGGCTTAGAGTTTCTGACTCTGAATTCAGAGATAGAAAAGATAGCAGCAACAGTAAAGATCAGGAGGTGGCTCATCCTTCATTTGTTTAGCAACAAATGTCTCTTCAGAAGTGTGTCTGTGAAAAATGTGGTGGCAACTGAATGCTTCACTAGTAATCAGAAGGATAATGTTACAAGTAGCCCTTCAAGCAGGGGCTGTTTTGGACACACTTCCTCTGTTTATGTTTATAGAAGGATCAGACTGGTCTGTCCTAGAAATGTGACTCTTTAAATGACCATATATTTTGGGAGCATTGACGGTAGAGCTTTTGAAGTAAAATAGTAAATATGTTTGGATAGTTGTGGACGTTTTTAAATTGGGAAATTGCATTGTAATTTAAAACAGTGAAATACTGTAAAATGGAAATTAATAATGAAACRCCCACAAATTATTATAAAACTAGAATTGTAATGTCCAAATGTGTGTGGTGTAGAACTGTATCACATAAAGTTACTGTGGACTGACTTGTCATGACTTCTGCTCACCTCCTTCTGCATTTTCTCCTTTGCTAGCATTGCAGAGTGCAGCAGGACAGAGATCGGCCAGCCACAACGTCTGTGTGAATACAGGGGGCAGAAAGGGACATACTGTTTTCATGTGATCACTAAATAGCTGTTCCTCTCCCAGGAAAAGATGTTCCTGAGAAAGAATTCTAACTCTAAAACACAATATTTGGGGATCTTCAGCTTCTACAGCCATGTCCAGAAACCAAACTTGTTTTAAGGGGTCATGTTAGCTCTAAACTGGCCAGATGTTGACTGCCTAAAGGGAACGATCCTGTCTTCTTTCCTCTTTTTTTTCAGCCTTGTATTTCTGCCACTTCTTTTGTATTCACCCGTACCTTCACATGTAGCTGACTTCGCAGCTAAGAAACATTAGTCTGCTGAGCTGGTAGAAGCTCCCTCCAAAAATTAAGTTTTCCATTGAATATCTGATTCATTCTGGGTTGTAGAGTAGTTAGATCCARTGCAAGCAGTGAGCTACAAAAATAGCTGAAGAGTGGGAAGGAAATCAGTGCTGCCTCTTTCACACCAGATTAGGTATAAAATGAAGCAAGAAGATTGAAATCACAGTTCTGCTCACTGACCTTCTGAGCTTATGGCCTGGCCTTTGGGACACTCAGCTTAAGCTATTGCATCAGAGATCTGTGCAGCTTTAAATATTTAAAGGCCAAGACACTGCCACAGAAGTTGTATAAAGCTACTTTCTTAAGTTGCCAGGTGCTTTTTGTTTAAGGTGAACTCRGGGTTAACACATATATGTTTGGAAAAAAAAGAAAACAAACTGTTTAGGGTTTGTGTAAAGACAATGATATACATATCACTTAACATAATAAGAAGTGATGCAGTCCTAGGGAGAGAGAACTAAATGTTTGAGTAGTAAGGGTAAAGTTGATTAAGTAAATACAAGTGCAGGTGCTTTTATTATATAATTTAGCACACAAAGTGTTCTTTGAAGTTTCAGTACTTACTGTGTGTCGGAGCCTGTGAAGCAACGTGACAGTCGTTTGGCAGCGCGCAGTCGTGGTGAAGGGTTCGGCTGGCAGGCTGCCTGCTCGCAGGATGTGCTCCTCCTTTCACTAAGTAGATGCCAAGCAGTGATTCACTGAAGCAGGCATCTTGAATTACTGTGATTATCCACCTCTAAAGAAAGTTTATGCTTTTTTTGACAGCATCGGTGCGTTAATATAACAGTTTTCTGTGCTGTGGAAAAATATAGTCTGTGCAAAGGAATAAAGTTCAGTTTCCTTTCATGTGGAAAATAAATAATTTCCGGTAGGAACCTGGGAAGCTGTGTAAATAATTTCATAATTCAAAATTATGCAAAAATTATGCAAGATAATGAATGTTATTACAGTTGCCAGCTGAACAAAAAGTGATCCTAGGAAAAGACCTCCTTGCTGCCTCTTTTGTGTTCTTTTATCTTTCCTTTTGAAAGGAATTACATATCTAGGACTGCAGATGATTTCAGTGGAAGTTGTAGAACAGTTTTATTTGGAGAACATTTTTTTCTCATTTTTAAAATATTGTGGAGACTATACTATTTAGCCTGAACCTGTGTCTAGAAAGTAGTGCTCTTCCACTTGTTTCTCTCTATCTCCAGTATGACTTGGGATAAGTTTTCTTAGCTACTAGAAATCCAGAAGCTGCAAAAGGGCTTTTTTGTAGACTCGTGATTCTTAGTCTTTGCAGTGCAAGAACAGCTTTCCACGTTGACTGATTACTGCCTGTAGTTGTGTGGAAAGAGACAAGACTTTTGCAGTGCCTCTTACGATATTTCCCACATTCAATGTTTACCAGACACATTGGTTTAGATTAAGGATTTTAAAAAAAAAAACTTTGTGACTTAAAGCTATCATCTTAAGACATTGACAATTAGTTATTACCTATATTAGGGACTGCTGCTTTGCCATAATGCCTAAGAGCACTAGTTGGGAACTGAGCTAAGTTCACTGAGCTAAGAAATCACATAGTGAGAAAAGCCTTGCAATATAATACAGTGCYTGCAGTGTCAGTTGAGGACTTAAGTAATTATAAATGTGGCTATGTTTAAAYCTCACCTTAAAGCAGAGTTTAAGTTAGATCCCAACATGGATATTATTTCATTCAACATACTTGTGTACACACATACACTTTTACCTGTGTAAAATGGTAGTTTGTTTTGAGCAATCAACATAATGCAGAATTCTTAAATTAAGTTGACATGCAACTGCAAAAAAATGTTTTTTCACTTGTCACTTCTGTTTTTAATTCTAACAGTGCTAATATACATATCGTTCTTTTATTCATTAGGGTATCACATTTGATGAGTTCAGGTCATTCTTCCAATTTTTGAACAACCTAGAAGACTTTACAATTGCAATGCAAATGTATAATTTTGCAAGTCGTTCCATAGGTCAAGGTAAGAATTTATAAAAAGGTGAAAAGTTGTTATTTTTTTTGAAAAAGATAACAAAGCAAATTGTATTCTTGCATAAGTTTACCTGGGGAGTTTAAATTCATGTGTGTGTTTTGTTTTTCTTCTGATACTTTCCTTATGTAGATGAATTCAAGCGTGCTGTATATGTAGCCACTGGGCTGAAGCTTTCCCCACACTTGGTGAACACAGTGTTCAAGATCTTTGATGTCGACAGAGATGACCAGTTGAGTTATAAAGAGTTCATCGGCATTATGAAAGACAGACTTAATCGAGGCTTCAGGGTAAGGATGCTGATTTTTTTTTTTTATTTGTTTTAATTTATTTTGCTATTAAAATAACCAATAGCATGAACTTAAACATGTAACTTTTATTGAAATCCTGAAGCAGTCAAAAAGATTAAATTTCTTCTAAATTTCTAGGAATTTTGCTATTAGCAGACAATACACATAAGGAATAATGTACCTTTTTAGAAGTACACGTTTATTTGTGCAGAAGTACACAAAGCCGGGTATCAGAAGTACTCCACATACTGCCATTTCTTGTATGTGGTGCAACTGATAAGTTGGTAGCTTTAGAGCTTTAACAAGGATAACTGTTATGTCTGGGATATGTTCAGGGAAGAGTCTCTCACTCCCTCTCTCCCCATCTTGTTCAGCCATTTCTTGCAGAAATTTGCATAGGGAAAAAGCCTGGGAATTGTTTCAAACCTTGCAGTTCAGGTGAAGGTGTAGACCGTGGTGCCCTCTTCAGGTTCTTCGTAGTATAGAAAAATATGAGAGTAGCGTAGAAAAATTTTAGGGTCGTTAATTTTTATATTTTAACTGTAGAAAGTAGATTATAGAAATAAAAAAGATTGTATTTGTGAACTTCTTTATTGACTGGTGTTAATTGAATAACTTTTTTTAAAGCTAGTTATTGATTCACAATATGGGAATGTATAAAGCTGATCTCAGAATTTATTTTAAATTAGTTTTAAAATGGTATTTTTAGAGTGTGATCAGTTAAAGACACATGTTTTCTTCAAATGAAAAATGGTAACATTTTTATCAAAGTGTAAAATGTTCTTCGATTAACAACCTAATGCCTTAAACAGAAATTTTGAGCTTTAACTTTTCCATAAGAACTATATAAAAGTTCCTAAATTCACATTTCAGAATGTTATTTCTGTAATATAATTTTACACATTTTAATTAGCTTTCTAAATATAGTTTGCTAAAATCATTTTAAGACTTTCTGTTAAGTGATGTTGAGCTTAGCAGGTTATTTGTTATTTTTGTAACATTTTGGTCTAGTGTAAAGAATGTGGATAACAAGCCCTGTATTTGTGACAGACTTACTTCCTTGTTGGTCCTCAAATCCTGTTCCTATGCTGTGGAAATAATGATTGTTTCATAACCATTTCAAGATGTTCAGCTGTATGTTTTAATTGTTACTAATCGTAAATGTGCAGTGTATGTTAATTTAACCAGAACACAGTCTGCTTACTAAGCATCTTTTGTAAATATGCATTATTTGTTTCTATTTCACAAAATGCATGACAGAAATCACATAAAAACCTTAAGGATCTGTATCATAGAGCACTGTTTAGCCTTGGGTATGCATCTTTTTTTTTTGCCCTAGGCCACTTTAAAATATCCTAATGCAGTATCTTAACCAACTCTACATGGTGATTGTAATTCCTATAACACAGTGACCAAAAATACTTTTTTTTCACCTTTTTTTCATACATGCCTGTATCCAGGCTTGTCATGTTGCTCATTAGAGTTTATTGTTTTGTTTTATATACAGATATGTACACGCACACACACAGATAGTATTGTAAAAAAATTACAATATCAAATTTACTTATTAATTATCATATCCACTAAGTTTTTGTAAGTGTCACAAAAAATGGTTTCTTTAGGAATGGGTAATGGTGTGTATATTAAAAAAATCACAAAAATCTGCCTTGGATTTTTGGACAAAGCATATAATATGTAAGAATTTGCTGCCCAGAACTAACTAGCAGAAAGCATTATTAATTATGGCAGCTGCAAAAGATTTAAGACTTTGGTCTCAACTGACAGTACAAATTGTCCCTAATACATCTGAACTTTAAAAGTTATACAGGATTTAGTGTGGCCAGAGCAACACTTGCTCTTGCTGCTACACAGCTCAATGTTGTCTTATACTAATCAAAATTAACTTTTTCTTTGCTAATACCACTAACCTTTTCTTTGTTAACAAATACAGACCGCATTTATATTAAGATTTTGTAAGTTCTGTTAAACCAATAAAAGATGATAGCTTCTGCTCAGGCAGTCCACATGTAAGTTTTTGTCTTGCCAAAGTTTAACCTGTTCATGAAAGGTAAATGCCTAATTCTAAGGCAAAATATCTTATAGTTAATGTCTGCTGGAATCAATGCAGTTGTTGATTTCCAATCTAAAACATCTAAACAGATTAATTTAAAACAGAYTTATAATTTGATCTATGAGTTTGCAATTAACACCTTAGTAATTCATTTTTTTTTAAGTTGTTTTACTGAAATATTTGCCAAGAAGAATCTTGGGATTATTATATACCTTGCGTTTAGGATCAGATATTTTAGAAAAGGATTTTATGTAGCCGTGTAGTTTGACTAAAGCTGAGTTATACAATTCTGAAAGGTCAGTACATGCTAGCTTTGTCCTATTTCAAAACTTAGCTTATAAATACCTATATAATTTATAAAGTTGACGAAGGTTAGGTCCTATCTCACATTCAAATTTCATAAATATTTGTTTTAACCTATATTTCAGGTTTGCWTTAGAAAAATAAAATGTCTAAAGAATTCTTGAAAAGATATTTCAGTCTTCCTGAAATTACAGTAATGTGGTCTGAAAATTTCTTTTTTGGCTATTTTGAAATGAACTGGTATATTAAGCTGCCATCAAGTGGCCAGTCAGAGCATTGTCATAAGCTTATTAAAACACACAGACATGAGAAGTTTTTTGTCTGCTGTTTGGATTAAAGTAGTTATCTCCAATATTTAATTAAAAAGAAATATGTAAGCAGATCCCCCTTATAAATTCCATTCTAAACTATTTGCAACTTAATGACTAAATGAGAAACATTTTAGCTAGTACATACTACACTGTATCTACTAGCTATTTCCCACTTAAACCCATTTGTTGTATTTTCATGATACTGTTGTCTTTTGCTTACCTCTGGCTGCCTTCACATGTTGTCTGCATCTGCGCACTTCTCCGTCTTCTGCTCCACAGGGCTACAAGCCTATTCAGAGATACACTACTTTCAAATCCTGCGTGAGGAAGGAGCTCTATAGCAGATAAGTCACGGTATGTGTTAGCTGCTCCGTCTGGGCGTGCTGGCATGCTTGCAGGAATGGCTGAATGTTCAACCGCCGCCGCTTTGTTTCCCATTGCAAAACTCAGGAGGAGATTATCTGAGGGCAACCAGTGCAGCAGCTCAAAATGTCATGTTGTGTTTTTGACTGAAGAGGTAGGATTTTACTGTGGAGTTGGCACCGAGTAACTCMTGCTGTCGCTGTTGTGTAAGCCAGTTGCTATTTTGTGCTGTTTGGAACAAGGTGAAGTATTATTTCATAGTTTCTGTTGCTGTTTTCTGTCCGTCTGTTCTGTGACCACTTTTCAGTATTATCTCTGTTACCTATSACAAATAAATGTTTAGCAATGAAGATCACAACATCAGAATTTTCTCTCTAAGAGCTGGTTAGCAACTTGATTCTGCTATGATTTAAACAGTTATACTTTTTAAAAAAGCGTAATGTGTTTTGAGGGCCATTGATGCTATGCCAGCAGTTCTCAGTGGTAGGTACTGTGGCCAGCATGGCCATTCCTGTGTAGCATGTGGTAACATGAATACTCATTTTTGTAATTAAATTGTGCTCTGAGAACTGCAGTGTGAATGTTCTRTAGTCTATCATGAAACTGCTGCCACACTTTGACCGCAGCAGAAACATGTCAGTAAACATTCAGAACTTTAAACCTTATGTGAACTGAGAGTTTACTTCTCTGCCATTTGCTAAAGCAATTTGCTTTAGTGGCATTTTTTTCCTGATCATTTTTAGTTACTCTAGCAGTTACTTCAAATATTGTTAACAGTAAGTCCTTGCAGTGGGGAGAAACAAGATGCCTGTCACGACAAACTGACCGTGCAGCAATTTGGAGCTGATGTGGGGTGACCTGCTACATTGGTCTCGCGCACTACTGAGCTGCCAGGCTTTGGATACAGTTTCCCCACTGCCTGGAGTTCTGGAACTGTGCACGATACTAAGCTCAGATGTTGTGTCTAATAATCCTCTTGGGATGCCTCCGTACATCCTGAAACTGCCTCTGGCTTTCTGAATCCTCCCATTCCCTGCAGACTCCCCTCTGACCACGTGCAGGCCAGTGAGCTGCCCAGGGCTCTGCCTGAGATGCCTCCCTAGCTCTGAGGCAGCAGGCAGGAAACCAGGAACGCAGAGTAGAATCTGGGGCGTCCTGTTTATCCGAGGCGATGTCTGCTTCCCGCACAGTGGAAACATCTGAGTCAGGAGGGCCCCTTTCCTCAGACCCCATCACTGCTCAGACTGGGAGCCCACCAGTTCACTGGCCCTGCTGATGGTTTTTTTTAATAGGCTCCTGCACAAGAGAGGGAAGAGAGAGGGGATTTATCTCAACTACTCGCTCAGCTCCTTGGCAGGAATGTGTGCATTCTCTTGTGTTGCATGTAAAACACAGCATAGTAGGACTTTTTCTTTAGTATTTTGATCAACTATTAGCTAAACATTAATCCCCTTTTTTAAGTTAGACTTCCTCTGCAGAAGTATAAACCCAAATCCTGAAGCATAATATGTGAGGAACAGAAAGAAAACTTTGTATCTTTACAAATTATCCATTTTATTCTCCTAACTAATATGAAATATAAGTAACTAATGAGACAGTCATACAAAATTTTAGTAATCCAACATGCCAGTTACATAAGAGGAAATTCAGTGTTTAAGATTAGTTTTGTGTAACTTCACCTCTTTGAAACTCAGGCTTTTCACTCCTCTTTGCTTCATAGAATCACAGAATATTCAAGGCTGGAAGGGACCTCTAGAGATCATCTAATCCAACCTTCCCGCTCAAGCAGGCACACCTACAGCATGTGGCACAGGGCGGCATCCAGGCGAGTTTTGAAGGCCTCCAGAGAAGGAGACTCCACAACCTCCCTGGGCAGCCTGTTCCACTGCTCTGTCACCCTCACAGTAAAGGAGTTCCTCCTCACCTGGAGATGGAACYTCCTGTGTTTCAGCTTATGCCCATTTCCCCTTTTCCTGTCACTGGCCACCACTGAGAAGAGCTTGKCCCCTTCCTCCCTGCATTCTCCCTTCATGAACTTATACATGTTAATCAGATCCCCTCTCAGCCTTCTCTTCTTAAAGTATCTCTCCCAGTGCTTCTCTCCCAGTATCTTTTCAAAAACATTACTTCAGGAGTATTTTCTCTTCTTTGTCCCCACTGATTCAGCCACAGCCTGTATGATTGTTACATGCCAAGTATTATATGAACTGTAAAGCCCTCAAGATAGGGAGCAGCTCTCAGAAGAAATTGGTAAATGTTGTACAGTCATGATGCTTTCCTAATACTTTCAACAGAGAGAATGTGACCAAGGGGAGCAAAATACAGTGACAGAGAAGAATCCAATATCTAATCATCAAGCCTATTAAAATTATGTAGGTAACAAGAAGAGAGTCTGTGGTAAAGAATCAAGTGTAATGGTCTAGACATCTTGATGGATGTTTGAATTCAGGCCAAAAGTTAATTCATTCATCTGTTGAGACAGAGTAACCTGAAAAAAAGTCAGTATGAGGTGTGTAAAGTACCCTCCTCCCTCTTGGCACCTTAGTCACTTCCTGCTCTTCACTTGAGCAGTTGCTGCATGTTTCTTGTAGTGAGTTACACTGGCATATCCCGCTGTTAGCTAGCCTCGGCATCCTGCATCTAATTGAAACTTTAGCTAAAACATATCTTAAGTGTTTTGGAGTTAGTTAACCATGAAGGAGAACGGAATTGTATATTTGCCATGTCATGGGGAATGAAAATGAATTTACGTAATTCTAAAAGCAATTCTTTTGTAATTTAGTTTTTAAATAGAAAAGAGCATAAAGGCTGAATCATCAAAAATTTCAAATTGAGCATTTATTTCCATTTATTAGTTAAATTTCAGTCTGATTTAAAAAGAAACATTTAAAAATTTAAAAACTCATCACAAACACATCCCAAAGTTAGATGCAATATGATAACACTTAATAGAAATGCAAAGAGCATCATCTTTGATTTAATTTGTCTGGTAAACTTAGATCTCTTGTGAAAGAGTTGTAAATCTAGTTATTAAGGTGTATATCCCACTGATTTATTGAAAAAAAAAAAAGATTTTTGCATTAAAGGAACTGTCTTCTACATTCTCTGAGTAATAGTTAGTAGCTTAAAACCATCTTTTTGACTTATTGAGGGAGGAAATTAGATTTTGAGAAAGACTTGAAAGACCCAAGATAGGCATGAACTTAGAACTTCACMTCTAATCGTGTTTCAACAGCAAATTACTATCTGCTATAAATATTTCATTCAGACAGATGAGATTAAAAGTTGTCACGTAGCTAATATTTTGAAGACTTTTAATTTTGGTACTTCTCTGAATATATCCATCATAAGAGAGGTTTAAAAAAACAGGTAGTTGAGGACTGCTGCAAACCCCTTCTCTGAGGCAGATGAAGTGAGTGGCATGTGATAACCTTACCTTACTCATCTGACAAAAGCGACAAGATATCACAAGACTTGGTCTTCTGATCCTAAATCTGACTCGCAGATTAAAAATGTATTGAGAGTGGGAGGAAAATCTTCTAGAAAAATGTGAAAACATCAAAGTGTATGAGGACAAAATGTTCTATTAAATTTGGTACGCTGAGTGCATATAACAATAATGCATGCATTAAARATAAACAGATGAATGCTTTATGTATTCCAGCATTTCTTTTAATACTGTGATTTCCACAAACATTATATGAACCTATTTCGTAAAATAAGAAACAAGTGCGTATCTTAAAGTAGTGTTTAAGCAGCTGAATACATTTTTGTTAAATAATGCAATGCATTTTGCAAATTATGCATTTTTAGTAAGATTGTCCATAAATCTCAACTAAATAATAAGTATTCTTTTCAGTATTTAATTTAMAAGCTGCGTTATATAGTACTGTGGATTAGATTGTTTTCTGAATATTTACAACTTCTGCATAGGTTCTGCATAATACAATACTATGCTTTTTGATTATATAAAATGGGTAAGAGTAAATGGAATATAGACTTCACCCTAATGGTTGAATTTAATACAAGCTATAGGGAAATCTATGGAACCTCAAACTCCCATTTGTTTAATCAAAAACGGGCAGTTTTTTCTCTGAGTGTTGTACCATTTGCTTTGAGATACTGGACTTCACTTCTAAGTTGGATTACAGTTTTAAACTACTTTTATCCCTTTTGATATATCTGTAGTAATTGCAGTTCCTGTTCTGCCCATAGTCCCTTTCACCAGCTGCTGTAACATTTAATCCATCTCCATCTTTAACGTATTTAGCATCAAAATATGCTTGTGAAGTTAGGAGAGTTTGAAGAAATGTTTGAAAAATGTAGCGAGTCCACAGATGGTGAACGTCCCAGGCCAGCTCTTCACTGAGTTCCTCCCTGTTCAGTAGAATTTGTGAACTTCACTAAACTAAAATGTGATTTAGCACTGAGGTAACCTAGCATAAAAGAAAAGCTTTTTTATCATCTGCATATACTGTATTTGGCTTTAGCGATGCCAATAATGCCTCAGTTTCATTGTATCTCAAGTATTTCTTATGCTTTTTATTGTGTTAGAAGTGATTTTTTTAATACAATGTGAACATTAAAAAGTAAGAAGAAGAAGTTAGAGAGAGCAGTACATATCTGAATAAAGTGGATATACCTCCTTGTAGGCATTACCCAAATGGGCAGTAGCTAGGATTATAACTCTGGTGTGAAGTGTGAAGGGAGAATTGAAAACTTACTTGCATACAAATTTATAATCCTCATCTTACAGAAGCAAGCATTGAAGTATTTGGTTTTTCATAATTTAATATTAAACCATCTATCCAGTTTATATGRATTGGAGTAAAATGTAGTGTAATATTAAGGAATTTAGCGGCAATTTTTTTTCAGTGGTATATTTGTTCACTTTCCATAGGAGACCCCAAAATACGGTTGGAACGATTATTATTCCTGTGTGATGACGGTAACCGGCGAACATCTCAGAGATCTGTGGAAGCAATTTCGGAGACGTGATATGCTGAGATAAAGAAAGAGCAACTGTGGGCACCAGTTCTACCTATTTAATCCTCTGTACACTGAATGAAGAACAAACCCAAGTGCATCCTGACTCTTGCAGCTGCAGTAGATAACACAGGATTTTTTTTTCCCCACTTAATACAGCAATCACAAGCTTTCACAGTCACTTCTCAGCATGTATTTTATTTAAGCAATGAAGTAACTATCATCTGATTGACAGGACTTTTTGTTAAGAACATACCTTAAGCAGTTTAGCTTTTAAAAGGAAACAAAAAGTGTTCCACCTGGGTAAGCTCATCTTTGGGCAATGAAGAGAAGATGCCTATAGGGACTGTGAATCGGCTTTCTGAAGAGCACTAGTAAGAGCTCGTGCTAGATTGGGAATGAGAGTAAATTATGTAGCATAACAATTATATACAGGTTGAATGTATAAATTAAGCTTTTAGAAGCTAACAAAGCTGTTATTTTTAAAAAGGGTAAACTTCTGTTTCAATTATAATGTGAATGCTGGGTATTTACCTAAGAAAGGTACTGTATGGACTGAAATGGTCAAATGCCGTAAGTCTTATTGTTATATTTGTTAACTTATCTTTTAAAAGTATTAATTTTAAGATGTTTTATGGCAATATGTTGAAAAGGAAGTGTCAAAAAATTCTAATTCATGTTAAGTAACACAACACCATGAGATATTTATCATAAACTTTATTTCCATACATATAAATTCAGTGATACATTTCCAGTAGAGTACGATTTCATGTGTTTCTTGTGAATAGTGCACTTATTTATATGAGGTAATACATGGCACTGTGCTAACCTGCTACTCTGGAATGCAGCTTCTGAAAAATAGACATGTGATATCCTTGTGCTTGTGTCAAAGAAAAAGCAAAGCAAAATATGAATGCGTATTCATGAGAGCAATGCGCACTAAATAATATTATTTGAATATTATGAATGAAATGTTAATTTTGCTAAGGTTGTGGACACTGCAGGCCATCAGTRGCCACCGTGATCTTTTGTGCCCTGCTTTCTATGTTGCTGAAATACCCTAAAGACCCTCTGGTACATTGGTTTTTATCASATCTTCTATATTTTTTCTTTGCAATTCAGCAGCAGAGGGTTTTTTTACTCCCTTTCAGGATGGATCATGTAACGTGAATTAAACCCAAGCAAATGTGAGCACATAGTTTTSAAAAGGTTCACTGGACATTTTACTATCTTGCATCTAGTCAGAAACAATCTGTGCATTGAAATATTTAGAGCTGCCTGCACACTAAAATTAGTATCAGTTTTTTTCAGAAAGGAAGTATTTGATATGGTCATCCAGTTAAAATACAGATTTRATATTTAGATTCAAAATAAGGGATTTTAATCTTTGACTTTCACAAATACATGTAGGAACTTCTGAAAAATTATAATTCATGGGTATTTTGCTCAAATGCCATTTTTTGTTATATATGGATAAAAAAAAAGATGCATAGCACCTGTGTAAGTACTCTTAGGTTTAGAAATGCTTAATTTATAATAAGATATATCTATTTAAAAAATAGATAAGAATGCTGTCCTTGTAAAAAAAATTCTACATAAATTTTTAGAGGAAAAAAAATGTCATTTGGAGTATCTTTTTAGTTGTGGCTTTAATCTAAAAAAAAAAAAAAAAAGCCAATTTAGAAAGCTTTTTGAAGGCTTCAATTAATATTTTGTGAAAAATCCTTTTCCAGTTTTGAGTTTGGCCTCCTCAGACTACTGACAGCTAGAAATTTGGGATAGAGGTTCCTGAACTGGCACCACAGTTTATGGGTGAGCTGCAAAGCCCTGTGTGAGCCGTTCGGGAATCACTTGGTACCCTGGTCCCCAGAAGGGCCCCCCTGCTTCTTGTCAGTGTCAGACAAACCTCATTTTGTTGCTTCAATCGTGAAGGACAAAGAGGGGGAAGAAACGTYAGGGAGCTGCTGAGGGGCTTCCCCAGGTGCTCCTCAGTCTCCTGCCATGAGCGCTCCCTCGGAGGAGGCAGAAGCCCCTCACACTTCCGCTGCTCCCCTGCCCGCAGCAACAGCGCACTCTGCCTTATGGCTCGCTTGAGACAGGTGTAACATTTGTCCATATATTTCCTATAGTCACTTCATAGAATGTGAAAGCGTCCAGTTAGTTTTTAAGAATATTATTCTCTCGTTTAATAATAATTTATGTGATATAGGATATGAAATTATAGATATCATATTCCTGTTTATTTCAAAATAAATACATTTAAAATGGATTTGCTTTGAAGTGTGAATTACTCAAATTTCGTTTCTCAGAAAGAGATATTATTTTTGCAAAATATTGATATACAGTGCTTTGAATGAGCATGTCACCATGACAAAAAAAAAAAAAAAAAATTATGCTGCTTTTGCTCTTCTTTTTGGATATCTACACTGTCCTGCCACCAAATTCTGTGCAAAAGAGCTGGGAGTACAAGGACAGACAGGCGAAAACAGAGCGGGATAATGGGACATGCCATCTGTTACAGAGGCACCCCTCGGATAAGCAGCAGTCCGTGTGTTGGGTAAAAGCTTATTCAAAATCCTCCACGTTTTTGGCAGCAGGACCTGCGTAGCTGCCACTCAGTCACRTGAAAGCGCCAGTGAAGGCCTTGATGTTTTTGTAGAACCGACTCTCTTCCCTTATATAAAAATGTCAGAATGTGAAATGCTGTTTAATGAATTCCTAAGACCTACCTGTAGATGCGCAGAGCAGCTGTAAATTGTGATAAAGCAGAAAAGCTTTGGGTAGCTTTGCGATGCTGACTTACTTTGGTCTGAGCTCTGATGACTTGCTAGTTCTCAGCACAGTGTCATTTATTGTAGGCTGCTTCCTGCTAATCTTAACATGTATAAAACTACACTGGCAGTTTCTGTCCTCGTACACTTATTCATCACCTCCAAGTCATTATGTTCCCAGGCAGATTTTCTGAAGAATACAGGCATTTTTCTTGTGTGTTTATCAGTATATGAACAGTGACAGTACTCCTTAGTTTCTCAAGTCTGATTGCTTTTTTTGTAAAGAAAGAAAAATACCAAGGTGTAAAATACAACTTTGCCCATCATTCACTGTGTTCTGCATAATTTCAGACTTTTTGATCTCCCTCAATTATTATTTATAAAATATACCCCTAAAAGTCATCAGAAAGTTTATTAAATCATACATTTATCAGGTTTTAAAAGGTCCAGTCTTCAGGAAATCCATGGCATATTAAATTGATCTAATAATACAAAGCTTTACTTTTCACATTAATATAATTTCATAACTGAAATTTAATCAGTTGGATCCAACTGCTCATCATAACTCATGAATTAACTGTAAATGCGAATATTGTATGGCCAGCCTTGGATTAAGGGAATAAGTTACTGCCAAAGTAATTTCCAATCTAAAAATGCTCTTCTGCTGAAGTTATGTGGTCTTAAATCACATAATACATCAAGGAGAACAGTGTTAATTTAATTCCATCGTTATTTGGTTATTAGCTGGTTTTGATGGATCATTTTGCTTTTTTTTAATGTTTATGATCTTTCAAACTAGTACAAAACAATGCTCTGAAGAGACAATTTATTTGAAATTAGCTACAACAGATCATTTCTGTCTGCTGGGTATTAAACATTCTCCCTAACTGAGAATCCTTCCTGTTTTCCTAGTATTTTACTGTTTATCACATCTTAAACACATTCAAGATATCTGTGTAACTTCATTGAATGTGTATAAACCTTCTGCTACTGTTTGTTCCACAGAGATGACTCACTTAAATCAGAATACCTGGTACAGTTTCTTACTTAAATGCACCAAAATGTGCTTTACACTTAGCCCTTTACAATGAGCACCGCGGAAGTGTGGTGTGATGTGACCATGAAGTATCAGAAGAAGCATTAATGGTGTTAGCAGCCAGAACAGCAATGTGGTCCCCTACCTGAAGGTGGTACTTCCAACAAGGCAGAGTCACCTAAACTCTTTCTTTCAATATCCTAAGCACTTGCCCCCCCCTTTCAGACCCCAGCTACCCAAAGGAAGTGGGGAAGTGTAAAGAAAAGGGTCYCTCATGACCCAGCTGAGGAGCAACTGATGGAGTTGGGTAGTACCAGGAAGGACCTGAAGGATGAGGTAGCGTTTGGGGGGTTTTAATCCTCTCCAGTCAAAGGACATTCCAGAGGACTAAGTCAAGGCAGAGCTTTTTATGCCAGTTAAGTTTGTGCTGGTGTTGAAGTGAGGCTTGCCTGCTTATTTCACTCACCAGGCTAATTAGGAGCAGCGTGACCGCGATTTCAGAGCTCTGGTGCAGAGGAGAGGTTAATACTCAGTGGCAGGGACAGCGCTGGTCATGGAAACGCTGCAAAGAGCTTCTGCAGCCCGGCTCCCTGGAGAGGCAATAGTCAGCAACTGAACAGGAAATGTATGATCGAATTTGAAATCTTTGTAACCCCCCTCCCTCCTACCTGTATGTATATACATTGCACATGGTATTTACAAAAATAATGACAGTACTGAGCAGCTTTTTGCAGCGACCAAACACCGTGCAAAAATGAACTCAGAGAGTTTCTAGCTGCTATGTGAGAGAGGTCACTGTGAGTATTTCCAAAGAGTGCAGAAAGTCATCACAGGGATTGAAGTGCCTCCAACTCTGACCTCTGTCAGTAAAGCATGGGGCGTGCCTTCAAGCAGAAGTAGATTTTATTCCTTATACTCTTAAAATCTGTTCTGAATAACTGTGCCTGTTCTCATTAGCCACACTAGAGTCAAATCCTTTAAATGTTCTAGTAAGATTCTGGCCTCGGTGATGACTTGCACGGATCAATTGCGGTTGAAACAATGTGTCTATGTCTTGAAATGTTTTCTTTGGAGCCTTTCCTCTATTGTCTATGCCTTGAAACAATGTYTCGGTGCCATGGTGCCTCATGTTTTATGAAAAGTATTGTATAGGTAAATTAAATTTATTTTTTCGGTACCRTTCACCAGGTCTCTTCCATGTAATTTGCCTCCTCCCTTTTGCCTCTTAGACTTCCCCAATCCCAGATTATGTCAAATGCTAACAGTTATTACATGCAAATTTAATGCCATCTGCATTATGCAGTATCTTTTCTTAAGTGAATAATTATATTCCAGTCTTTCTAAGGCATGATTTGGTTCATTTTTCTCTTAGAGTATTTCTATATTGAGTAAATGGCTTCACTGAGCCATTCTCAGCCAATCTCTTCCCTGAATAGATAATTTACCACCATGGGTTATTTAATCATTTTACACATTCCCCTCAATAGATAATGTGTTGCTCATTCATTTAGTTCACTCCAGCTAACTGGAATCCCTCAGCCTACTCCAGAATAATGAGGTAATGAAATAAAACACAGTTTTGCCTTATATAAAAATACTGCAGCCGTACGTTTCGCTTCTTTCTCTCTTCTTAACCATGCTAACAACTCAGCCTCTCGCCCAGYGCCCCTGGCAGAGCAGCTCTCCACGGTTTTGTTGCCTTTTACTGCTTCTCTGCTGTTTCAAGGGCCGTCTCCTGCCCACGGCAGCCCTGAGCACATGCAGAGAGTGCAGAGGGGGCATGAGACAATTCACACGCCTTTTTCCCCCGTGTCTGAGAACATTTTAAATCTCTGCGCTGGTATTTGCCAACCAGGGGACACTTTTACCCATGCACTTTAAAGTACGCTTGGAGGGGGTTCGATAATGCCAGGAAAAAAAACTTTGGACACGGTTTTTGGCACCAAGCTGTGAGCAGAAAAATATGGGTTTTGAGCTTCTCGTGGGGACAGGCGCCAGGCTGYCGCCGCCTTGGCACCGAGCGGGGCCAGCCTGCGCGCGGCACCACCGAGGGGCGCACAGATACGCAACCCAGAGCACAATTTGGGGTAAAAAGGGGTAGATGACAGGGATTTGTGGCAAGTAGGTGTGACGGCGGGCGGC